GCTTTGTGATGGGACAGATTGTTACCAAGCCGTAAAAGATGCTGGTCGTTACCGCGAATGTAAACGTACACAGGGCATTTCCACTACAGAGCTTGTAGGACGTATGTTACTTATGACGCGTGATCATCATAAACGTAAGTCTTCTATTGCGTCCGTCAATAATGAAGATTTGAGCACCTTCAGCAGTAGTCCATCTAAGCAAAGTCCCGAGACGAAAATTTCACATTTCTTGCCGACATCGAAAAGGATAGTACAATTTTCCGAAGGTAAGGAACCGAGCCCTGGAGATAAAGTTGTTTATGTCGACGGTACCTTTGATCTTTTCCATGTTGGACATATCGAATTTTTGAAAAGAGCAAAGGCTTTAGGTGATTATCTCTTAGTTGGAGTTCATGATGATCAGGTGATTTAAAGGGTTGAATGTATCATTGACCAAGATTGTCGCACTCCATGTGTCTTATTAATTACCTTACGTTATCGTTTTTAATGCAACAGACCGTTAATGCTATCAAAGGATCAAACTATCCATTAATGAACCTTCATGAACGCGTATTAAGCGTTCTAGCATGTCGTGTGAGTCTTATCTTGCAAATTAACTTTCTAATTTAAATTTTAAATTTAGTTTCTTACGTATTATAGTACGTTGATGAGGTAATAATCGGTGCTCCATACAGCGTCGATGATAATGTATTATCCAAGGTTTACATAGTAGACATTGTTGCTCACGGAAATACGCCTTCATTACCTGATATTAATAACAAAGACCCATATGAGGTGATTGCTTGGTTCAATTCTTATGACACTAATTATATATGGACCTAACATATAGTTATTTTGTTAGCTTCCTAAAAAAAAAGGAATTTATGTTGAAATAGAAAATCCCTCCGCGGATTTGACTACTGATGGCATCATTGATAGGATTATTAAACATCGTCTCAGGTTTGGTGTAATATATGATAAATTAAGGTTTAATTTTTCATGCAATTTATTAATTGTCCATGATTAGATACGAAGAACGTCAAGCTAGAAAAAATGAAAAGTCCAAATTGGAAGAAGAGAAATTGAATAATATGAAATAATTCATTTTAATATGTGTTTTAATACTTGCCGCCCAAATCCAAACTACTTTAGTTTGGGTTTGTCCACTCCCAAATCCCGAAACCTGGCCAAACTAATATTTCAAAAACTTTATTAATAATCTTTATTTAAACATATGATATATATTTTCATAGCTATGTATAATATATTTGCAAAATATCGAGGTCATTTTTTTGGTTTTATGTTTTGTAAATGGTAATTTTTCTTTGGTTTAGGTTTTGGCCGGGTTTACCGGCAAGTATATGTTTTCGGGTTATCAAATCCTTTACCAAATTATTTATTATATCAAGTATAACATTTTTATAAAGCATTATTTGGTAAAATTGAAAAATGAATGATTTATTATACGCTTCTGAAAAATGACCGGGCTTTACAATTAAATCTGGTTTCATAAATTTTCATAGGAAGATCCCCAAATTTCTGGGTCGGATCCATTGGATTTAGGTCGACATTTAGCAGGCCAAATTTATCAGCTTGGGTGGCTTTAACTGCAAAATTTCGCTTATACCCAACTACACAAAATATACTGATTTATTCCCTGCCATCTATGTAACATAACTTTGATATACTTATTTTAGAGCGAAACTTGATATTTAATATTAATAATACCTAATGACCTAAATTAAATAGATACATGTATATCGATATCTATATCGATATGAAAATACTGAAATAGTACAGTCAAAGTGTAGATCGCACCTTATATGGGGGCCCGTTAAAGCCAGGTTCGTTGGGAGGATAGATTAGTGAAGCAACCAAAATTCAGCAGATTGACCAAAATTTAGGGTCAGAATCCCCAAATCACCCAAAATTTTACTAATGAAATGGTAGCTCACGTACAGTGCGGGACAGCATAAGACATCCAATGCGCCAAATTTCAAAAAAATTTTATGATAAAAATGATAAAAAAAAAATATTAACCAATTAAATTTCTTAAAATTATATATATGCATTAAATTTTTAAAAAATTTTAAATTTTAAATTGTAACTACTTTTTTAAAATCAAAATTTTTGAAAATCCCTCTTCTAGATTTGTTTTTTTTTTTTTATAAATATCGGCAGCCTTGCCAGTATCTTTATTAGATCAAAGCATATATATACATATATTTAACTATCTAAGTTATAGATCTGACATTCTCCAGCTACCTCTATGGGCGCTCAAGAATGGTCTGCTTTACTGGTTAAGGCTACTGCCTGTACCGGAAGGCTGCACCAAGCTAGCCATTGAAACCATACCAAAATGGCTTCACACTATTTACAATAAAGTCTTTAACCACAGCAAACCAAGTACTTCCTTTCCTGTCAATTTTCTCCTCTTTATTAATTTCTTTTTTCTTTTTAACTTTACCTTTGATTTGCTTTTGGTTCTGATTATATTCCCCATGATTCACGCCTGACTCCTTTTTGCTGATAGTTGTTTTTCCACCTTTTGGTTTCTTTTCCTTTTTTTCTTTTGAGTTTATTTCGTTTTTCTTTTCCCAGTCATTAAGGAATACACATCTTTGTTTCCAAATGTTTTTGTAAAAATAATTTTAGGCTGAGTTGACTGCCATGTCAAGGTAGCTTCTGGCTTTTTTTAGAGTTCCTACTAATTTGAGAATTTTCTTTGCAATTTCATTTTTAATCAGTCCTTTAAGAATGTTAGCTTTCGTCTCATTCTTTTCTTCTTTTATTAAATCTCAAAGAGAGCTTTTAAGTTGAGTCTTATCAAGACGACTGCAGGATTCTTCTGAGAGAGCTGTTCAAGCCAAGTTTGATGCTAGCTGCTCTGCTTTTATCCACTTGGTTTCATATTTCTTACATGAAGTTAAATGTTCTTGATCTTCTTTTTCTCCTTTTGCGCATAATTTACATATTGGGCTGTTATATAGATCTGGTCTTCTAGTCGTCAAGGTTTTAAGAACTGAGAGTTTCTTATATAAGCATTTAACTAGCACTCCCAAATGCTTATTCTTTCTTGCACTTGTATATCTAACTTCATTTTGATTTCTAATCTTTTTCTATAAAATAGACCAATATTGGAATTGTTCATTATCGTCAGGTTTTATTTTTGTAATTACTAATATAGATTTCCATTCTATCACTGTTTTGAGCTCAAGTATTAGTTGTAAAAATTCTCTCGTAGGAGCTTCTACTATTGTTTCTTCCCAGCATAAAGAGATATTCAATTTTTGTGGGAGTTTATCTATAATTCTTTTTCTATCTACTATTCTAGATCCTATCTTTGTCAGTTTATCTGCTATATCGTTTTACCTATTTTTACTATGTCCTTTTATCTTTTTTAATTCTAACTGTAATTCCTTTATTTTTGCTATATCTATAATACATTTTACTAAGTCATAATTCCCTACTCTTAGCCTTTGTCTAGCTGGCTTATTCCAATTTCTACTTTCCAATCTAGCTAAAGCTACTGCACTGTCTGTAAAGATTTTTATTTTTTTCCTTCTTGGTGTGACTAAGAGTGTTCACTATATTTCCAGTAGCTCCGCTTTAGTTGAGGATGATCAGTTTTTTGCTCCAAGGAATTCTTCATCAATGATTTCCTTCTTCTCTTCATCTATTAGTACCCAGCTTACTCCTATTTTATCTGCTTCTGTTTGGGTTATTTTTCTATTTCTTCTTAAAAAGCTATTAGTATAAAAAGTAAACTGTGACAAGGAGCTGCATTGAAGTTTTTGGTTCTTCTCTATTAGGTAATTCTGTAGAGCTAGGCTGATTCATTGGTTTTTAATAATTTCTATATCCAAATCATAGATTTGGATATCCTGCATTATTTTCTTATTTGTAAGAATCTTTAGTTTATCACATGATACTAGAGAGAAAAGCATTTTGTGATGAACTTTAAAGACCTTCCTTTTCTGTTTGTTCATGATTTTGGTTATTGAGTCTTGAATTTCTCTTTGTTTATTCAGCTTCTGAAAAAGTTTTCTTCTTTTTCTTGATCTAGTTCACAACCTTCACATCTTTCAAGTTTTATATTTCTTGTAACTGGCTCTTCATTTACTTTCCAGTGTTCTGTAAGGATTCTTTTTTCTGATTTGTTGAGAGTTTATCTTATTTCTGGGTAATGATTTTCTTTTGCTTCTTTAGCTTTGACCAAAATCCATTCTTTTTTCCTCCTATCCACTTCTAATGAATTTAGTATAATCTGCAATGCCTAAGCACTGGGGTCACCTAGTCTATACTCTGACCTAACTAATCTGCTTTCTTTATCTTCAATTACTATTTCTTCAATTGTACAAAACCATTTTGCACTTTTTCCTCTACTTGATCTATTTTTTAGCACCTTCAATTGCTGCCATGTTATCATATAATCTCCTAACTGTGTTAATAGTTGTTTGAGCAAAATTATATTGAGTTTTCTGAGCATCGTTGCTACCAGTGGAGTAAAATTCTTCTCTAAAATATTTGCTAGTCTGAATTTTAGACTCTCTGTTTCTAATTCTGTATTGTTAAACTTGAATGTGATTTTTAGCTCTCTGGCCTTTAACATTGTTAAGCAGGCCAAGTTGTTTTTCCAGAAATGTATACAGATCTCAGGCAGCCCTTCAAACCAGTTATTTTCGGCTGCACCTAGCAGTTAAATACTTTGACTTAGTTTTAGCAAAGTTAGTATTTTTTCAGGACCTGTTGTATTTAGTCGTAAGTGTAGACTAAAAATTTGCTTTGTTAGAAGTCAATTTTATATGAGTTGCAGCTTCCAATGCTTCTGTGCAGAATTGTATTGTTGCTTATAGTTCTTGCTAGCTCTATTCTATGTTTTGTTAAAACTAATATTGGTGTTTGTAGATCATCAATCATCTTTTTTATAAACCTGAAGACTTGCAACATATAGTAAAGTTTTGAAACTATGCACATATTATTTATATACAATGCTTGCACCACTATTAATTTCTTTGGGTTTAGTATTTGGACTGTTGAATGTATAATCTCCTTTGCTCTTGCTTTAACTAGTGACTCATCTAACTTGTTGTTAAGCCAAACTCTTAAAAATCTTGTGATCTTTTTTCTCTCTTCCTCTACCAGCCATTCACTATCAAAAAGATTTTTCTATCATTCCTTCTTTCCCCAAAATTGATGACAATTAGTTTAGATTTCTTTCTATTAAGTTGTATATCATTAAACTTGAAGAACTCTTCAGCAATTTAGATTATTTCCTCCATTTGGTCTTTGCTTTTTGCAATCCATATTGTGTCGTCAGCATAGGCAATAACTGCTTGTGTCCATTCTTTACTTATTGTCTGGTGCAGGCTGTAGTTAAAAGGAATTTGTTGAGTTACAGTATACCCTAATTTGGAGTTTTCATTAATTCTCACAAGCAATAGGTCATAAAAAATTCTTCAAACAAAGGCGAGATCATCTCTCCTTGCTCAATTCCATTATTTATTTCGAAGCATTGTGTTGTATCTAGCTTTATAATAATTTTTGACTGCCTATTCACAAAGAGGTTTATAATAAACCTAATCGTTATTTGTAGAATTTGAAGTCTTTCCATTGTTAGCTCTAATGATTTTAATGATACTGAATCGAAAGCTTTTTTTATATCTTAAAATACTAGCCACAGTTCTTTTTTATGATCTATTGCATCTTCCATTATTGAATTTAAAATCTGCACTGGCTCTTTTATTGAGTTTCCAGGCAGTCCTACAAAATTTGGACCTTTCAAGATATTATTTTTAACTATGACTTGTGATAGTCTTCTAGCTACTATTTTAGTTATACACTTTCTAAACATTTCTAAAAGTGCTATAGGCCTAATATTGTTTAAGCTGTAGCGTCAGTCTGTATCTTTTGGAATTGGATATATTTGTGAGACTTTTTATTTTAGTGGAACATTGCCTATTTGAATGCAACACTCTGCAAATGTTTGAAAGATTTTCTGTGCTTGTGTACTTGCTGCTTTAATTAATAAGTAGGTAATTCCTGTAACTCCAGGGGCAGTGTTTTTCTTTAAGTCTCTAATCATATCTTCCCACTCTTCTTTTGAAATATCTTGATTGAAATTCTTATACCACCCTTCTTGAATCTCTTCTTTTGATTTATAGATTTCTTTCTAATTCCTTTCTTATAGCTTTTGGTCAAAAAAAAGGGTCTAAATTGTTTTTAATAATGCTCTCTTATTTTTTTAAGAACTTCTTCTAAATCAGTAATTAGGTCTTTTTTATTATTCTTTACCTCCAGAAGTCTGTCTATCTGGATCTTTCTGAATGGTTTTTCTAACAGACTTGCGAGCATCTTGCCTTATTTTCCATCAATTATTTGGTATCTTCTTTTGATATTTTCTTCTATCTCCTTTTTCTATTATTGTTTGATTTTTCCTGCTCTTCTTGCATATAAGATCTTCTACCAACTTTTTAAATCATTAATTAGTTCATATGATCAACAAGTTATAGCCATATTGATATTAGTTTTGTGTTGCTAATTTGTGAACTCTAGCTCTAATATTAGATCTGCAATATAGTCATATATAAGGCCTAGTTTAATACTCTTACGTCCTATACTAATCCATCTACTAAGTTGCATTAGGATATATGATAATCTAGATTCTTTAGCTTTTTTTTTTTTGTTCTGTATCATGTTGCAGATCCTTTTTTTTGGGAGATTGCATCTTGCTGCTACCAGAATACTACTGCTTATATCATCCCAAAGTTCATCCAAATTTAATAATTCTTTTTCTTGCAATGACTTGGTGATTAGAAGATTTTGAACCTTTGTGCTCTTCTTTAGCAAGCTATCTATTTGCTTTCTGTAGTCTTTCTAATTTTCTTTAGATGCCTTTTTGCAAAGAAAAACTGTTCTTATATATTCTTTTTTTCTACATGCTGCTACATTTTGAAAAGCATTTAAATAACCTAGATTTATTCTGGCTATCATTGATGCATAGTCACTATTGATATATATAGTATTGGCACTGAAGACCACTGGAAG